GAGAAGAACCCGTCCAGAAGACCTATGCATTTTTTTTTCTTTTTGATTTTTTACCTGGATTACTGAGATGCATCAGGAGATTTTGATACTTGTGTTTTGAGTTTGAGTTTATTAGTCACGCCTTGCTTTATCAAATTAGATTTTCTTCATAGTTTATGTGTTTTCTTCACTTAGCTTTCTCCCTGTAACACTGATCATTGTTACCCCTCAGTTATCCCTGTCCTTGCTCAGCTGACCTGCTCATTAGCCCAGCTGTTATCACACACTGCTCCCACATTAATGAACAGTGATGGTGCAACATTGGTTCTTTTGAGTTTAAGAAAGTTTTATGTGCCTAAAGAAAAAGTAAAATGAAACAAAAACAATCAAAAAATCTTAAATGAGGTCAAGGGAAAATTAATGGAAAAGTCTAAAGAACCAAGATCACTTTAAAGTAAACTGTAACGTAAAACATGACAACTTGACACATTTCATTGTCATTTGTCGATCTGCCTAACACTCAATAAATCAAATTATTTGTTTGTTTGTTTGTTTGTTTGTTTGTTTGTTTGTTTGTTTGTTTGTTTGTTTGTTTGTTTGTTTGTTTGTTTGTCTGTCTGTCTGTCTAAAATGAGCCTTCTGGCTAAACCATCTCGCTAGTTAGCCAAAATACAAACCTGAAGATGTGATCTGTCTAAAATTAAAACAGTCAAAGTGAAAATTACTTTTTTCCCTTTATTAATACTTTTAATAACCAAAGAAAGTGGCATCCAAATGTCAAAAGCTTCTCAGTCAATCACCAAAAGCTGAACTATATAAACAAAATATAGCCTCTGCAGTTTTGAAAGCTTACAAACTCTTCGAAATACTGAAGCTTGAGGTAATGGAGAGACACCCGTATGAGGTCAGTGGTGTCAAATCTTGGTTCTCAAATGCCATTATCTTGAAAGTTTTAGTTGTTTCCCTTGTCTTCAGCAGGTTGTCAAGTTCGGCATATACCTGTAACCAATCATTCATTCGAAGCAGGTATGTCACACAGCAGGGAAACATCTGAAACATACAGGATAGCTGACCTCAAGAACCAGGCAGGATTGGGCACTACTGACCTGCTGAAATTGGAGTCATTTTTGCATGATTTTTAACAAGCCTAATTTTGCCATAAATGGTGACACCATACCTGATCATATGACCTGTTCAACTAATAAAATAATAAAAATGACATCAATCCATTATTCAAATATTATTCAAATGTTTTTAGACTGCAACAGTTTAAAATCGAATTTTATTTACTGTTACTTAACCAGGAAAATCTCATTGAGATCACAGATCTCTTTTTCAAGGGCAGCCTGGGCCTGAAGGCAACCTATCGTAAATATTTTTGGGATGTGGGTGAAACCGAGGTACCTGGAGAAAACCCACGCAAGCACAAGGAGAACATGCAAACTCCACACAGAAAAACCTCAAGTCCAAACTGGGGAACAAACCCAGTACCTTTTTGCTTTGAGGCAATCCATCTGTTACAATCCATCCACTGATTCATTGTGCTGTATTTCCATGCAGTGTCAGAAATAAATTGTGTGTGTGTGGTGGTGGTGGTGGGGGTTAATAAGAATATTCAGCATTATTTTCAGCATGACAATTATAAATGAAATAATTTATTTAAGCGCCCTCAAATGATACTCTTTTTTATTCTATTCTAAGTCACATGTGCCAAACTCAAGGCCCCCAGGCCAAATGTGGCCCCCCATAACATTTTGTGTGGCTCGCAAGCTCTTCAAATGTGTATTGATGTTTTAAAATGAGTGCATGCTGCTTTAAAGTCAGCATTGAACGTAAACTATTGCTCCCATAATTACATGTTGATTATTTTACCAGCAAAATGACAGTCCCATAGGTGATCCACAGGGTTCAAAAGTAACAAGCAGCTGGTGAAATTCAACATATAATGACTCCATTTCACTGCATTTTCACCTGCTAGTTTTGCTACGGCCCAGTTGTAGTGAGAAATGGGAATTTCCCACTTACAAGTTATGGAATTCGCTGTCGGGAAGTGGGAAAGTTCAGAATTCAAGATGGCAGCTATACTTACCAAAATAAACAGTGAATAAAACTCTTGCACTTTTACTTTTGTTTTTCTTTATTATTCATTTCACATTTAATAAGTTCGTAAGTAAGTCAAACCTTATTTATTTAGCACCTTTCAAGATAAAATTCACAACATTATTCAAGTGACAGAACAACAAATACACAGAGAAAATTATAACAAAATTATTTAGTCAGTCGTACACATTTCAGTGTTTATACAATGACATGTTAAAATGCGGTTTCTATACACAAAATACCACATAGAGCTCAGCTCAGTTATTTTTTGTTTGTAGTGCTCAGCCATATCAAAGCAATGAGAAATGTGACATTTCATGTTTAGTCGAAATTAAACACAAAACATCAAAGTTAATTAGAGTTGGCCCTTTCAGGGCCACCATAATGCTCAAGTGGCCCTTGGTGACAATGAGATTGACACCCCTGTTAAGTGAACAACTAAGTGTTCAACAAAAAATTACAAGAAAAAAAAGCCTAGCACCTTTTTCAAAGGCCCTTTTAAAAGCATGGGTTCAAAAACCACAATGAAATATATCCAGAGGTAGCAGTGCTGATAATGTTAGTGCCTCTATTTAGAAAGTGTCTGGGGGAAAGGGAGCAGAAGAAGCGGGGAAATTGGGCAGTAATGTGGAGAAACAAGCAGTGGCAGGAACAAGTCACATCTTTGTCTGATTTCCCAGTTGTAAGTCTACTTCTTTGGCCTGACTGTTATTATTCCATGCCCCATGTGAAAGACAAACATCTGACACTCCAAAGAAATACGATACATCAGTAAGTACTCGCACTGATAGGTATTACTATGCATTTTAGACACTTTGGAAAAGAAAAACAGACGCATAAATGGACATTTGTTTTGGTATTTGCAATGTTTCTGTTTATGTGAACATAAGTCTGTGAAAACATTGAAACAGAACCGGTCAATTATAGACTCACAGCCACCTCCACCACTGTGTCGCCGTTCACTCCAGACACGGAAAGTGGAGCGCTGCTGCTCCCGAAATACTGAGAACAAATCTAAGCTAGGAATGGCTTACATATTCTGACACGCAGACGTGGAGCTGCAGTCATACCTCTCTCAACCCACCTCAGGCGGAGCTCTTATCCCCCCCCTGCTGTGGTTTTACCGAGTCACTGACTCCAGCAGTCAGCCTGCTCCCCTCTGCCCTGACTGCACAGCTCCCACTGAGGAGTCAGCTGAGCCATGCTTGAGACTACACAGGGAGCGGGCTACAAACAGCTTGAATCATCTTAATATGAGCAGAGAAGGGCTGAATCTGTTCAGAAAACTGTAAGACCACACCATATTATGTAGTTTAAATAAAAAAACTAAATCAACGATTGCTACACACTACAGTATTTATAATAATTAGATGAATAAACATGAATAAGTCTAATTTATTAACCTAATTCGTGCATTCTTAAAGTGACAGTTCAGATCTTTTGAAGTCTAGTTCAGTTGCGAACAACTAAAATTATATTAGTTATGAAAGCAGTATTGAAGCACCTCAGGAGAAACAGATTTTAGTTAGGATTTGATCAACGAGCTAATAGCTTGTTGCCCTATACTAGTATAAAAAAATGATATATTTGTGTAAGAAATTACGTATTCAAAGACTGAAGTCAATTACGAAAACCACCACTGTTAAATAAAATGATTTTTAGAAGGAATAAAATCATACAAAACCAGAATTCTGGAGTGGGGGTTTATTGTCACTGGAGGTGACAGGAAACCACACACTGCCAACAAACCAGGAAGTTCATCAATTTATACAAGGTCTTCAATGCCTGCGTTCGCCCCCTACTGACCTACGGCTGAATCACAGGCATTCAGACAAAATCCTCAACACCTTCTTCAATGCCTGCGTTCGCCCCCTACTGACCTACGGCTGAATCACAGGCATTCAGACAAAATTCTTACCTACTGTTATTACAACGGTTTATTATGTGTTGTTATACTCTTCGGACATGTAACTAATCTATATCAATCAAAAATATAATAGAATAAACATTGTCAACATTATACACAGGAAAACCCAAACAATATAGTGTTGTGTTTTTAACATCAGTACTAACCTGTAATAACTATAAATTTCTTCATTTGCACTAATAATATTTAAAAAACACATTAAAAGCCAGGTTTGTTTGTAAACACAAATAGCAGCAGCATCTAGCTGTAGCACTTCCAGTGCAATAGAGCACTTCAGACAGGAATATTACAATGTTTCTACTGGAAATTCCATTTAATGTGGAAAAAAAATGTCTTTTTACAGATTTAAACATGAAGCTTATGTGAAAATTCAGACCGGAAGACTCTCCCTCCATCTCACCTGCTCCGTCCAATCGCTGCGTCACGCTCCCAGCTGCAGTCAATCAACGTCAGATTCTCGCCTCACCATACCAATCAGCTCACAGAGATCCAGGTCTAAAGGCCCAGCTTCGAAGGATCAGTCACCTCCACCTCTTCTCCGCCTTCATCTTAAGCTCTTCCTGGCTATCCCTTCCCTCTGGCCTCCACACCACCACCAGTGTCCGAGCCCCGGGGGGGAAGACCACTAAAACCTAAGCTGATTTCTAGCTCACAGCAATTAGCTGCACCTACGTGTTCAGCCGGGGCTCGAGCGCCAAAGAACTTTCTTATATCAATAAAACTGTTTACTGCTGTATTTCTGTTTGTGAATCTTTCCAGGTTGAAATAGCATTTGCATAAACTAACAAACACTGGAGTGTTACTTTTTTTTCAAAGGCAGCACTATGTTTTAAGCCCAGCTTATACCCATTAGATCAGAATAAAATTTAATTTTTTTCCAAATTTGTGACATTCAAATAGTAATTTGCAACAAGATTCTAATTGTTCGTGCCTTTTTATAAAAACCCTACTTCAAAAGACATTAACAATTTTAATTTTTGTATTTAAATTAAAGTCAAAAACACCTCAAATGAATGGAAAAGGATGTTTTAGTTTATAAATCCAAAGAGCGTTGCCTAAAGTGATAGCTGAGTCTCCTTCACACAACAGATCAGAATAAAAAGAATGAAATTCTTTGATTGCTTAGATTGTTTTACTAAATCATCTGAAGGAAAACATTTTTTTATAAATACGTAGCTGTAGCTCATTTTGATATAAACATGTCACATTCATGAACACGCAGACACACGTACAGCAGACTTGTCAGCCATGCTGGAGGGTCCTCAGAGCCCATCCCCCACCTAGAACCCTGTCTGGAAGAGGGGGATGGGGGAATATATTAACTCTGGATGCCAGCAAATAGAATAGAATAGAATAGAATAGAATAGAATAGAATAGAATAGAATAGAATAGAATAGAATAGCACTCAATTAGATTCAGTTTTTTGTTTATTTATTAGATTTTTTTCCTCTGAAAATGCAATTTAATCATTTATGCTGTAACAGTCCATCAACCATTTTTCTATTTTTATGTTTTATGTATTTTGTTGTTTTTATGCAACTATTTGCTAGTAAAGATAGTCTGAACTGTCTTTTTGATGATGCACAATTTCACACCCGACACTTTTGTTAATTACGATGATGTCATCATATTGAACAAATGTTCTCCTTACAAGTGACACTGACCTTTCTGTTTTCAAACAGCAGTAACAGTTTCAAGCTATTCACTGCATCATTTCCCCACCTTTAAACCTTTATATGGCTTTTTGATCGCAGTTGTTTATTCTTTCTAATCTCACAAAAAAATGTGCCACGCACTTAAAAGAACCAGATATGCTGTTTTTGTTGTTTTCTTCTTTTAACATCCAAAGCTGGGTCATCAGGCCATATGGTGACATAATCAGCTCTATGGGAAATGCAAGCCCCACATCAACAACCCCCAGCCAGCCCAACACCCTCCCTAAAGCATGACACGGATTTAAGCCTTTTGGGGGGATTTACATGAAAATGTTGAAATATATGTCACTGTGGGTCTGTTTTCAGAGCGATATCAGCTTTTTGAATGATTGGTGATCCAAACGGTTGCTATTAGCATTTACATTACTTACATTATATATATATACATATATATTTTTTTTAATTTGCTGTAAATTTTAATTTACTTTGAGCTAGTATTGTTCACCCAACAAACCTAAAATATTTAAAAGCTACTAAAAGTCTGGCGATGATATATGTAGTAAAACAAATTGATTGAAACTTTGTTTTCATCCATTTTTTGGAAAGCAAAAGGCTAAAAATCCACAAAGTGCTGATCAAGGCAGAGACGTGAAACAAAGAAAGAACAAATCTGTTTCAGTTCCAGCTGATATTTATTTCCTTCCTTGAAAAAAGTTCTGTACACAAGTTTGTATCAACAATCTGACAGGCAGTGAATGGACACAATTTTAGCTGGCATGAATCCCCCCCCCCCCCCCCCCCCCTCCTCCTCATCATCTCTTTCCAAAACAACAAAAAAAGATGTTTTTTTTTTTACTTTGTTTATGACATGATTAGAGACAATAAATGATAATTCTACACAGCATATTGCACAGGATGGATGAAAAATAAAGTTAATATATTTAAAAATGCTTTCATATATCTATATATAAAAAAACAGTCTGAACTGACCACCTTAAATGTAAGTAAGGATGTGTAAAAGATAGCAGTTCTAAAACAGTGCCTGTCCTCAAGAGCAACAACGTACATAAACACACAATCTTTTTGCTTTATGGTACAGTCAAATATACAAAGATCAAGTTCGTTGTTATGATGTTTTTCCATATTTTTTTTTGTCCACTGTATTTTTTTATTTTTTTGAAAAACACAACAGCTAATAATAACCTGAATCTGAAATACAAATGCTATTCACCATGCCATAAAGATACTAAAACAATTATTAGCTAGTAGTTAGCTGACAAGTAGAAAAGATTATATATTCAAATACAATGAGAAACGCACTAGTAGGTGTTGCGCAACCCAAGTCAAAAATTTGAATATGCTTGATGTTGTCATCTTTGCTGTTTGCTTGCTGCACTGACAGCCCCCCCTCAACCCCAGTGGTTGGGTGGACGACATAAACGTGACATCAGTTCATGAAAAAAAAAAACACAAGTCCAATTTAAAGCTACAATCATCTTCTAATTGTTTGTCAAGACGTTGGACGTGAAATGCAAAAAATAAAAAATAATTTTAAAAAAGCAAGTGGCTGCTTAAGACAGTAATGCTATTAATGGTGCACAGGAACAAGCCTCTCAAAAAATAATGTGTTCCTGTGTCTTTAAGAAGCCTGCAGTCTGGCACTGTAAACCTTGAAAGGGGGGGGGGGAGGCTGATACAAAAAGACCTGGTGCTGCTTTCAAGTGCTGTCTGCAAAAACCGTAATCACATCCCTAATAACCTCAACGATGACACGTCTGTGCTGCAGATGTTCAAGAGTTGCACATCAAAGTGGTCTTAATAGTAATTGCTGGTAAGATTTGCAAAAAGTTTTTTTTTTTGAAGTGAACTTGAACACAGATCACACACCTGATTCTTATTAGCTCCTTGTTAGCATCAAAAACGTGGTCAGGTGCCTTTGACTTTAAAAAAAATCTGACAATAGGCACCAGAGTGTTTAAAAAAAAGGAAGAAGTCTGTTCTGCTGTTACTTTGTACAAAAAGCCTTCCGAAAGGCAAGAATACGAGTTTAACATGAGCACTTGAAGGCAGCATGAAAACCAGCACTGCCAGGGTATTAAAAACAAGAAAATCCAACACAGCTGTGTTAGTAGTAGGCTACACACACAGATTGTTGTCTCCCCCCCACCCCATGTTTTTTCTATATAGATTTGTACAAAAATACACTGAGAAAATAATCAAACTGCTTCCTCTCTTTTTAAGTGTCCAAAAAAGTGTGTACATTTAAATATAAAAAAGGAAATCAAAAGTTGTGTATTTTTTTTTCTGTAAAAACTCTAGCCCTTCGCCTGAGAAGGAAATGTGGCAGACACAGACATACTGACAAACTGTAAGAAATCAAATCAGGACTAGATCTTGTGTACAAGAACATAAACAAACAAACAAAAAAAGAGATGCCTGTCCCAGTATACAAATACAACATCCCATAGAAAATGGCATCATGTACAAAACAAAGCTTTTTGAGGGTGAAAAAAATGTTTTTTTTCTTCTTTTGTTTTATTTTAAACTCTATAAGCTCTATGATCTGATGAACGTTGAAGGATTTTGGTCCTGATACATAAGAGTTCAGCACAGACTTGAAGTTGCGTTTTTTGAGTCCTGAAGTTTTCAAAAAATTTTACAACAGCTGGTGATTATTTCAGTCCTTTTTTTCTTAAAAAAAAAAAAAAAAAAAAAAAACAGAAGAGTCAAAGCGAGCGCCACCTATCCATTTAAATACCCCTAACACTATTATAAACTGCTCAAACAGTCTCACAGAAAAATCTCAGCACAAGATAGGAAACAGAGTAGGGCTATCATGCTTAAACATGTATTTTTTGCTTTTGAGGGAAAAAAAACATACTTTAAAAAAAACATTTAACCCACCTTGGTTTAATTAAAAAGCCTCCTGATGGCACAATTCTTTTTTTTTTTTTTTTTTTAATGACGCACGGCAGTCCTGTTCCGTACCTTTTTTTAGTGGTAGAAAGTTGTGAAATGTCCCTTTTTTCTCTCCCTCTTTCTTTTGTCTTCAAAAGTCAGCATCAACATTGATTAAAAGTACGGCGGACCGCAATAACGTGCAAATCAATCACAGTTAAAGTTACTCAGTTGAAACCAGTCCAGGACTGAGCAGTCAGAAAACGCAGCTTCTCTTTTCTCTCTTGTTTTTGTTTCTGCACTTCCTCAACTTGCTGTGTTTGTACCGAGTGCTTCAGTCCACACGTCCAGAGAAAAGTCCAACACATAAACAGACTTCCAGGAGTTTGCAGCTATGAAAGAAGAAGGGACAGGAAGGCTGGCTGCAGCTGTGAAACACAAACTGACCCCCCTGGTTCTGTTTACAGCCGCGCGGCGCGTCTGTGCGGATGTGTGAAGTGGTTTCTGTCAGTATGTGAACACCAGGTTAGAGATGGTGGACTCCAGCCAGTCCCCGGAGATCATCTCGCTGACTTCAGGCGTGCAGTAGTCGGGGAACTCGAAGTGGGACCCCCCGGAAATAGACTCACCGTTCAGGTCCCAGTCTCTGTCCAGCACCGAGGAGGAGGAGGAGCCGAAGCCCCCCAGCGCCATGCCGCTGGCAGCGCCGGGGCTCGGGTTCACGTCGAGCAGGTCGTCCTCGAACTCCTCGTCCTCCGAGGAAGACGACGAAGAGGAGGAGGAGGAGCAGGACGACACGGAGGAGTGAGAGCCGGAGGGAGTCGGGGAGGAAGCCCGCCGGCTGCTGCTGCCGCCGCCGCTGTGGCCGCCGAAGCTGCCGCTGCTGCCGGGGGAGTCTCTGCCTTCCTCCCTGCCGCCGGCCGCGTCCTCGTACAGGCTGAGCGGGTCGCTGGAGTCCGCCGAGCTGCTGAGCGTCGGGCTGGCCGGAACCACGACGGAGGACGTGGGGCTGACGCTCAGGCTGGCCGCGCTGCTCCCGAACACGTACACCCGCTTGGGCTTCTTGCCCTCCGGTATGTGCCTGGCTGCTGAGGACAGGGACTTGGACTTGTAGAGGGAGTTGTGATGGAGCTCCCCTTCCGAGGCGAACAGTGATGCTTTGGTGCTACTCGTGCTGCTGCTGGTGGTCCCGAAGAGTGATTTCTGGGGTTTGCTGCTGCTGCTGCTGCTGGGTGATTTGGATCCGCTCTTCCTCGAGGACGAGGACTTGGTGCTGGTGTTGTTGCTGGAGCTGCTGCTAACTTTCTCCCCCCTGTCTCCGGCGCCTGGCTTGGAGGCGCTGGATTTGACCTTCTTTCTCGGCCGGTACTTGTAGTCGGGGTAGTCCGCCATGTGCTTGAGCCGGAGCCGCTCCGCCTCTCGGATGAAGGGGATCTTGTCGCTGTCCCGGAGCAGCTTCCAGCGCTTGCCCAGCCGCTTGGAGATCTCCGCGTTGTGCATGTCGGGGGACTGCTCCATGATCTTCCGCCTCTCGATCTGGGACCACACCATGAAGGCGTTCATGGGTCGCTTGATGTGGCCGCTGGGGGTCTTGCACCACGCCGGGTTGTCTCCCAGCTTGTCGCCGGCGGTGGAGGAGGCTGTGGAGAGCGGCGACGCGGCCGGGTCCAGATCCATGCACGCCCCGGAGTCGGAGCTCGAGTCCCCGGCGAAGAAGGAAAGCGCCTCGGCGGTGCTCTCCGTGTGGCTCATTCTCTGCACCATGCTGTCCACTTTATACGCGCAGAGGGAGAGGAGCGGTCTGACCTGCTCTTTCTCTCCCTCTCTCCTCTGGTTCACTTTTAAAGCAAGCTCAGCTCTTTTTTTCTTCTTCTTCTCCCCTCCTGCTCCCACTCTGACAGTCTGAGCCGAGCAGTGCAGTCACTCCTGAGATGCGCAGGAACAGTCCAAAAGTTGCCTAAACAGGCCAGATGCATAAAAAAAAGTTTTATTTCCAGCTTGGATTGGTGTTAAAATAGCTGTAATCGCTTTCTCTTAGTCTTTTCCTCTTGTGTGATGACTGAAAGTTTCTGACACAGCTGCAGAGCGGGGACTGAGTGCCACACTGGCCCCCCAAATAGCTACAGTGTGTTGAGAGGGGGGGGAAAGTAAGTGCTTCTGCTGCTCTGTCTCCACTCCAGGAATTAAAAGCCGTTCATGCTAGGGTGAAAAAAAAAGGAGAAGCTGGAGCGTTAGTTACACTGCCCGCCTCCCATCTGCGAGTCTTTACTGTCGCGTCTCAAGCACCCCTTCAGACTCACGCCCCCCCGCCTTTTGCCTGTATTTATTCCTTTCCCCCGATACAACGGCGATAAAAATCCACCAATCAGACGCTGTCGCTAGCCTGCCTCGGCGACCTGGCCGCGCCCACCTCGGCGCCGATTGGCCGAAAATGGAATCTAATAATAATCAGCGCGTGCAATGAGGAGCCTCGTGTCTGACCTCATTCCAGAATACAACAAGAAAGTTGGATTTTTTTTTAAAGAGACACTGGCTAATGTTATGAACCCCCCCACACCCTCCTCCTCAACCACACACACACACACACACACACACACACACACACACGCACGCACGCACGCACGCACACACACACTCTCCTCTCCATGTGTCTACCATTAACATATAGGCTTGCTATATGGGAAGTCAATTATAGTTCTACTTTGCCATATGGTAAGTTAAACACTGCCAAAGACACGTTTAAAGAAATATTGTTTTTCTTTTCCCCCTTTATTTATTTATTTTTTTTTTTGTCGTTGCACAGACATAGAGGTTGTTGTGAATGGCCAGAAGAGCTGATGTAATGTTTCACTTCATGTCAACAAAATATTAATAAAGCAACAATATAATCAATTTGGAAACATAAATTCAGCTTTCTTTATTTAATTGATTTTTTTTTCATTATTATTTAATTAAAAAGTCGTTGTTGGGGATCCACCTGCTGATAAAAAAAAAAAGGACAACAGTTGCGCCTCTCCGGCACACAAACAAGACAACATCCCCTTTGGACGCATCATGTTGAGCGTTGGGCTGGAGTGAGAGAAGCCAAGCTGTAGCTTTTTACATGATTTAACCTCCTCCTCTTCCTCCTCCTCTTCCTCCTCCCTCTCCTGCTGGGAGGGACTGGGGGGGGGGCGGGCTTTTGTCACATAACCCAACCCTCTTCAGCGTACCAGACGCAGAGAAGAAAAAAGGGGAGAAAAAAAATTGTGTGCAGTTGAAGAATCAGGGCGAGAAGCTGCAGAGAGAGAGAGAGAGAGAGAGAGAGAGAGAGAGAGAGAG